CCCCAAAACCCCAAAACCCCAAAACCCCTAAAGACATAATCTTAAAAAATCGATAAAAATTGGAGAAAATCTAAAAAATGTCACACTATCTATTTGCATTCAAATATATTCAATAATTATTTTTAAAATTTGGAATGAGCTACGAAAGATATGATTTTAATCCAACTGATATTTCCCAAAGATTCTCATTACTCTAACAGCAATGAAACTTAATAATAGCACAGCTTATGGCTCAATAAAAAGTATATGAGAAATTAAAGGTTGAGACTAAAAATAAGTGTCACAAGCATAAAGTGGTGCATATGAAACGTATTCTGCCAGAATAAATCTCAATTTAGCCTGACTACTAGCAAGAAATGGAGAAGCTTGGAGAAGAAATGCTTTCAAATATGATGCCACTTAATTTGAGCAATAAGAGTTATAGCAAATATGAAGTTGAATAGTCTTTTTAATAGCAGGAAAAAATTAGTTAAAATGAAAGAAAAAGGGACTTAAAAAGATTTGAGCATGTATAGAAGATGGAAAAGAAAGATTAAAATGAATAACAGGATAAATGGTTTGAAGATAAGGATCTATTCGAAATCTAATAGTAGATTAAAGATGAACCAAATTCTGATGATTAAGAAGTCTTGATTGAATTAAATAACGAGGATGCTTAAGAAGATGCTAAAATGTCGCAGGGATGGGAAAAAGAAAGTGACAGTCTAGAAAGTTAATAGTTAAACTCAAGTAAATCTGTGCTTCTCCATAATTCTTCAATCCAAAGCCAAAGCATTTCTTCGATCAATAATAAGATGCTGGTATTACCCACTCAATAATCTTAAGAGAGTTCATTCAGTAGCTGTTTTAGTCTTTTGCAAAAAAGAAGCAGTTCCAAAAAAAAGAAAACATTAAAACAAGTGATGTCTGAGAATGAGTACTCAGATAGTTTAGAAGATGAGGAGGATAATGATAATTAATACTGAAACAGTTAACTAGATAATGCTTTCATTCAATTCAATTCGCAAAGCATTTCTACTAATAATTAGGCTTTTGACCATGAAATGAAATTATTAGTTCAATAATCTTATTAGGATTCATCAAAGGATCTTGTGAGTCAGTAAAATGATAATAAAATAGCTATGGGGTAAAATGAAGCAAGTTATGATTTAGCGCAATTGGCAGATGATTAAGAGAGTTAGATGAATATTGAATAGTAAATATAGACCTAAGTATTGATTAAGAGTGAATTTGAAGAAACTGATATGTGATCAGAAGTGGCTTAATAATAAAGTTTAAAAATCGAAGTTGAACCAAATGTTGAAACTATAGATGATCGATGGGTTTCGAAAGAATTTAGTCACTAACATACTGACTTCACTTAAGGCCACCATTTATTTGGAATTCCTTAAATAAACTTATAATTGACGGATCATAATGATCTAAATCAACTATAGGAACGAGATGTAGTTGGAAACTCAAGTAAGAAATCAAAAGAGATCTTGAAACATTATGTCCCTGAAGCAATAAATATGACCCTATTAAAGTTTAATTGAAGCTTAATTGAATAAAAGCTGTAAAAAAATTAGCAGTAAAAGCAAGAACTTAAGATAAAACAAGCACTATGCAAAAAGATATTTTTTACTAAAGAAAATGAAGAGAATTAGATAGAGAAGAGAGCAAGTTTACTTTAATTCCTCTAAAGCTCTTTATATTCCATAAGTCAATAACAGAAATTTGCGAGATACGCTTATAATCAAGTAAGATTTCCAGAAAAGAGGCAATATTTTAGAATGGGATCTAACAATGCTTACAGGCTTAAAGTAGTTATGGGGCAGAATTTTAAGCCAGATTTCATTCTGGAAAAAAATGATAGATCAAGCATCGAATGAATTTGTGAAAACTCGAATTCCTAAATATCATATAATTTTGTAGACAATACCTGTATATATCTATATTCAAATTATTTAAAATTTTAACTGTAATATTTTTAAATTTAAGAATAAATGTCCAGATTAAATTCTTCATTTTCAGATGATGGTAACTTATTTACTTTTACTGAAATAATTTTAGGTCGTAGAAGTGATGACAAGGTCTATAGTCTTCAAGTAGAGTTCAGTGATATGGCAAAAGCTAACTATTACTATTACGGTGGAAGAATATCAGAAGAAGATATTGAATCTGAAAGAGAGCGAAGAACTACACCTCCAGGCACTATTGATGAGCAGTAGGACGTGATGTCAGAGAATATCGGTCATTCTTTGAATTTATTAAAGAAAAAGCATGGTCGTTTTGCTCTTAATCACCCCAAGTCCTCGGTTAGCATTGCGGATAACAAGGACATCAAGGATTCGAGAATCACCAATTTAATCGTAATGAAGGAACGAATCAAGCTAATAGATGATGGCAAACACATTAATAGCTTTAAGAAGGTCTATGATAAGTTATTCAGAGAATTTAAAGAGCAGCTCATTCATGAGTATTCATTGTTGAAAAATGCCTATATGATTGAGTATGAGGAAAACTTTAAAGCTAACATTCAGGACAAAGAAAGCCACTTAGATCAAGCTTAGGAACTTATTCTAAGAAAGGAGTAGGAGATTATTGAGACTTAGGAAAAGAGAAAAAGAGTTATATAACTGACTGAGCATATTCTCCAACAGAAATATAATCTTTTCATTAAGCGAGTAGCTGTTAGAGCCATGCAGTACTTTAAGGACATCATTTAAAGAGAGAGAAGAATTAGAGTTTATACTAGAAACTACATGTATCGCAGAAATTTAAGACTTTTATTTGGCAGCTGGAGAGGTGTGTCACACTCGTGGTTTAAAGAACGCATCAATGAAGAAGCTAAATCTTATGAGCACAAGGTCACTATTGAGAAACTAATTTCTTGGAACCAGAATGTAGATGCTATGAAGATCTACATGGTTCAGCTATAAGAGAAAATAAGAATTGAAGTGGCTGCCAGAGAAGAACTAGCAATCACATATGAGTAAAGTCTTAACAAGGGTGTAGGTCAGTTGAACAATGAGACAGCGGTACTTGCTGAAAATCCTTTAATCAAGGAAATAAGTTTGATCGTTGCTCAGGAGTTAATAAACAAGTCAAGAGCAGAGGGCAGACCGCTAGATTAAAGTCTGACTAATTTACTATCTCATGCATAGACATAAAACTTTCAGAGATCCGGCTCTATTAGGCAAAACTATTGAATCAATACTATATTATCTAGATAACTAATTAATCAATAAGAACAATCATTATATCTCTACTCTTTAATTTATTTTATCTCATCACTAGGGGTTTTGGGGTTTTGGGG